AAAAGCTTCCTTTAAACACAGTATCTCCATTCACTTCTAAAGGACCAGATTAGGAAGTTCTCCCATCCCAAGCTTTTTACCTTAAGAAGCCAAATTCTCAACTTCTTGCCCAAATGCCCTCATTTTGCAGTCAATGACTTCAGAAATAACTAAGGGGCAGTCAGATCATCTTAACCATGAGATACAAAAATGTTAGTGAACTGACTCTCATTTCTCTCCAAACGCAATGAATGGACCATATTCTACCTATCTTTCAAAGACAGTTTTTTACTTCAGGATCCCATACCAAACACTCATTTCAAGCATTTCCACTGCCTCATTCAAAAGTAAATAATTACAAGCGAATCTACTTCTCCAAGCGAACCAAGAACTTTAGTGGAGTTCAACATAGTCTCATATGGAAAAGATGCATTCCCTCACAAAACACCTCCAGAGAAATAACTTCGGATTTGAAGAAAATTAGTATTCGGCACTAAGTATGGCAAAAGTTGTTAAAGATCCATAACATAACATGTGCATTCACACCCAACTACTAACAGGCACAACTGCAGTATGTCTGAAAGAAATACATCCAGAAAGCACAAGAGAATCATTTCCCATTCAATTAGCAACAACAGGTAACTGCTACTATAATTAACACACAACACAAACATATTTAGACTCAAAAGTCAGACTTTTTTTGTACCACTCCTCCATACATATGTGGAAAACAAACAAAAAACCCCAAAGGCCTAATTTTAAAATATAAACTTTAAGACATGTTAAGGATCTCTGGCATTTGTATAAATGATTACTAACTCACTGAGATCCAGAATAAACTAAAGGATTTCTCTTCAAATTCTCACAATTTCCCATTTTCACGCTGATGTTAAAGGAAAAGAGCCAGATTTGATTCTTGTTTTGCTACTATTGGTTAAAATGAGATTCTGGAACAGACCCTGAATTCCTATTTTCCATTTTACTTATCCACTGGTGGCTCAGTTGGCAAAGAATCTTGCCTGCAAAGCAGGAGAACAGGATCCGATCCCTGGGTCTGGAAGAGCCCCTGGAAAGGGAATGGCAACCCACTCCAGTATTCTTGCCTGGAGAATTAGATGGACAAAGGAGTCTGGTGGGCTACAGCCCATGGGGTCACAAAGAATCAGACATGACTGAGCAACTAACACACACACACACTTACCAAAAACAAGTATGGGTTGATTACAGTAAGCAATATCATCTAGTTTTTACTTTTCAAACCATGAGCTATTTCCGATTTAGTAACTCCTGGATATTCTCATTTTACCGGTAACTTTGGAATTTAAAATGTTTGTGAGTTCTGACATGTTGGTAATCTAAAAAGCACAGTGTTGACAAGCAATTTTTCTTCATCTATAAAGATTCTACAGCAGCTCACTAATTCGGAAAAGGTGCCCCCAAGGAATCCGGCTGCAGTGGCAGGAAAGACGACGTTTTGCTTAAGTGTCTCCGGACAGAGGAGGAAGCTGTGCCAGATTTCAGCTGAGGGTGCCATCAGTTTGGTTTTACAAATGTGATGGGAATTTTGAGATCACCCCATCATTAGCCTTTCCACCTGCCACCCCAACCAGTGCCCAGCAGCACAGAAGTAAGTGTAACTATCAGCATCAAAAACAGTTAATATTTAAGTCCACCATCCAGTTTGAATCCACTAAACTAACGAGAACCAACACAAGAGAATGTCAAACAATGATCCCACATGATATTTCTGAGAATAATCAACTGATGTCTGGTGAAACCAAGCATTATACTTTACTCATGCCAAAGAGGGAAGAACCCTACAACTCCACAGTAGATGGGCAGAAACTTCAAGCCCTTGAAATGGCAAAAGGACCACTGACTCCCTACCTGATGTCACTATTATCAACTCCAAAGACAGTTTAGCAGTCTGCTCAGCACTGTAGTCATGACTCAGACCCACTTCAACGAGTGCTACAAACACTTAGAAAGGAAGTCTTTTCTCTTAAACAAAAAGTCGTCTTTTTCTTTCATGGTTTCTGCTCCCCAAACTCACAGCAATACTTAAAACATAAAGATAACTATGTTTCGATAACAGATTTATTCCCAGCAGTTGAGTACAGGCCAGAATGTTCTAAATTCTACACAACAGCAACAGTTTCAACTATTGTAAAGAATGAACTCCAAAGGCAAAAAATCCTTTAAATCTTAGAGGATGAGGGCAGGCAAATGAGGGATTTTTGTTTCAACATATGAAACTGGCACAGTCAATCTGTAAGATGGGTTAGGTCCACTTAAAATCATGCTTAAGCAAACTCTTAATACAAAGATCAATAATAACTTCTCTGAGCATAATCAAACATTGATTTTTAAAAACTGTCTTCCATATTTACATAAATCAATCACTAGTTACCAGTGTATTACTTAACAAGCACACAGCTACTAATACCACATCTTCTAGACAATATTTACAAAGATAATACTCTGTCAGACTCTCAGTGAGGTGGGAAAGCAGTTACAGTGCTTCTTCTCATGAAGGAGCAGGCTGAGATAAAAAGCAAGCAAACTATCAAATCTTTCCCTCTCACATTTTTCAGCTCTATAAGAAAGCAGAGATGTGCAGCTTTTAATTTTTTCATGCTAGAATCATATATAGCATGGCAGCTAAGCTTGTGAGCTCTGTAGTGCCCAACTCACTGCCCTTGGGAAAGTCAATAAATACACCTAAGTCTCAGTTTCCTCTTCCATGGAAATAGAGATAATAGTACCTATCTCGAAAGGGTTCTTCCAAGGAAGAAATTAAACTAGATGATCCAACAGAAAGAACTGATGAGATTCATGCCTGCCTGGCAGACAGTAAACATTCAATAAATATTTAGCAATTATTGCTGTTACAAGTGAAAAAACACATCCTAAGAGTCAATAAAGCCAGTTTACTTTGGTCTCTACAAAAATGGCAAAAATCTACCCAGCCTACAATCATTCACATATTCAATAGTTCCCTTGTATAACCTCAGTGAGAACCATGGAGGTTAACTTTCTAAGGAGAAAGGACTACACTTTGTTTCACTACTGGATAGATTACTTAGTCCAGTCTGAGTGTCAAAAAGAACACTTCTTATGTATTAAGATCCTACCTTCCTCCAAGAAAGGTCAAAAGGACTTCTTCCATCCTCACCTGTCACATCCTTTCTCTGCTCCTACATCCCAAAGAAACCTATCTCACACTGTGGTTTCTGAACTGCAGGGGCCTCATCTCGCTCTTTTAAAATTCTTAATAAGGTTGGCTAAACAGAGTTAAGAAATACTCCAAGTCCTGACACTCAGCACCTAGTCTTGCACAACACCAAGCTCAGAAGCTCCCTCCTCTGAGAAATCTCCCCACCCCCAGACAAAGTTAAATTCCCTAGTCACTCGTGCAGCATTTGGGGTACAGGTTTGCCCCAGCACCTACCTTGTAATTAACTAATTATGTCTCCCCAAACAGACTGAAGGCAGGAGCAGCTGTGGGAGCCAAGGGGTTCATCTCCAGCACTAAACACAGTGCTTCAGCACATACTAGGTGCTCAAAAAATGCTACACTTAACCCAGATTCTCTCCTTGCAGATTACATCTCTTGCTGGATGCCCCACTTGGAAATCTGAACATAAGGCTGCTCTCTGTAGAGTAGGCTAACACCATGGACTGCTGATTACAACATCAGAAAAGCTAGTCATCAGCTTCTCCCATTGGAGAGGTTCCCGGAACCCAAATTCAACTGAGCAGGATTATGTACCACCAGAATCAGTGGGAATTCCCAGCACAGAAGTTACCTTCTCCTTCAGCAGAACTGCAGAAAAGCTCGCAGGGTGAGCTTTTTAGTGGGGGAATCTTCACAGGGTAACTGAAGTGGAAATGCTCAAAGAATATCAAAGATTTGGCTGAAAAGGGTTCAAAAACATAAAGATCTGGCAAAAGCCAGCTAGCTCTCAATTCCTGAAAAACAGCCACTTCTGAAAAAGAATGAACAGGAAGCAGGGGTGGGTACTGGCCACTCTTTGTTTCAATAAATAAAATCTTTTTTTTTCTGCCCCCGCAGCCCACAAGAAATGGCTAACACACCAGGCCAGATGAGATGTTCAACAACCTCTCCTCTTGACAACTACACTAAACTACATTTCTAACAAAACACTGCCTTAGGAACCTCAGCCCCACTGAAAAGTTCTAGTCAGTAATATTTTAATTAAAAAAAAGGGGAAATCAATATGCCTGAGCCCAACATTGACAATGGCTAGCCCACAGAGGACTTGCAAACTTTCTGAAGGGAGGTACCACTACCTTTGCAAAGAACACAACTTGGGGAAAGCAACCTCAAAATACGAAGCACTCCACAAGGAGGGCTTTAGTTTTAGAGCCCTATTTCCTACCATAAACATCGTACCCGGCAAGGGGGAAAGGAAAAAAAAACCCAACAGTTGCCGAAGGGCAGCTTTCATTCTGGAAGCAGAAAAGGAAACAAACACGAGAAGCAGTAAGCAGGATAACCCCCAAAATAAAGTTCTCTTTGGGCAAAAATAGTAACAATTCAGGCTCCCACCCTTCCCTCTGGTGAGGTCTGTGATTTATACGGCTTTGCTCCGCAGAAAGCTCTTTCTGGGCAGCTCAAGGAAGGAGCCGAGGGAGGGAGAGAAAGACACACAGGCACAGAAAGGAGAGGAGAGAGAAAAAGAAAATGGCGCAGAGACTAAGTCCCGACTGTCGACAAGGCGACTTTCCCGGGAGGAATCCGGGCCCGGAAAGGCTGCCCGAGGCGCGGCGGCGGGCGACGCGGGGTCTCCGTAGCCCCCTCTTGGGATGGCCGCGATCTGGGGGGTCTGGGGTCCCCGGAAAGGGGGTCCAGAGGCGGCCCGAGGGGAACAATGGGGCCGGTGAGCGAGGAGCCGGGACTTAGTCTCTGGGACGCCATGTCTGTCCTCTGCCCGGCTCGGGCCGGGCGCGGGGCCGGCGGCCGCGGACTCGGGGGTCGGGAAGGGGGGCGCACTCACCATTCAGTCGGAAATCCGCCTCGATCTGCGGAGAGAAAAGGAGGGACCATGAAACAACAGGCACATTCACCCCGCGGGCGGCGGGCGAGCGCGCGCGGCCGGGAGCCGGGCCCACCCTGCGCCCCCCGGGAAGAGGGGGCCCAGGGAACGGCCTGAAGGGCCAGCCAGCACCCCCAAACTGTAAGTTGGCGGCTTCCGCCCAGGTCCTGGGGAGCCGACGTCCGCCGGCTGGCCGCCCCTGGCCAGGGGCTCTGGCCTGTCAAAGCAGCCGGGCCGAGGCCGGGGCCTCTGAGCCGGGGGTCGCGGAGGGCCGAGGCACGGCCGGGCCTGGCAGGGCCGTACCTGGGAATCGTTGTGGAGGTGGTCCCCACTCATGTCGGGCGGAGCGGCGAGGGGCGCCAAGAAGACGAAGACAGTCGCGGCCGGCCTGTGTGGGCGGACAGGAGACACCCGGAGGCTCCGGGAGGCGCGGGGGGAAAGGTGATGGGGCGGGCTCTAGACTACCGGAACCGCTGAGGCGGCGACAGCGGCGGCGAGGCTGACGGACTGCCGGGCGGGCGGCGAGAGCAGACCCCAGCAGTTGTGTAACAGCCTAAGTTCGCATTTCGGCTCACTGCGCCTGCGCGGCCGCTTTTAAAAGCGACGTCGCTGACGTCAGAGGCTCGCGGAAGGAGGCCGACAGTGGCAGGGCCCGCCCCCTCGCGCTTCCTAAGGGGGGACCCGGCTTTGCATCGCAAGCCCCGCCCCTTTAGCCCTCGCGCGCCTCTGTGATTTGCATAAGGAACTGACTCCTCCCACGACCGCCCACCCAGAACAACCTTCTCTTCCTCTCCCAGCGCTTTTTCCCCGAACCCAGATCCCTCCCCTGGGCAGTGCGCAGGCGCAACCTGGACACCGCCTCCTGGCCTGGGCCGGCAGGTCGGCCACGTGGTGGGCCTTTAAAGGCCGCCGCGGGACAGCGTCAGGCGCCGGCCGAGCTGGTATCCCAGACGCTTCGGCATCTTCCCGGAGCTGCAAATACCTTGGCAGCTGGGGTCCCCAAGTTCTCACCAGCTATTCTTCGCTCGCTAACCAGAACCCGAGGCTGCTTGGAGGGAGCCTTTGTCCTGGCCTTCCAACTTCTGTATGATAGCACGCTCACTTCTTAAAATGTATTTAAATTGTTCAACCCGCCAAAGGTCTGGTTTAGCCCCAGTTTTCTGCCCGTACGGGTAGTCCCAAGTAACAAGAGGCCTGATTTCGTTTGTGCATTCTTCAAATATCCCTGAGCCAGGAATTGTGTTAGGAAAAGGAGTGGGGTAGGAGCCGAATGGAACCGAATCGCGGGGTAAACACGACCTGTCTGTGTACCCCGCAGTGTCCTTAGCGCGCTGCGAAGCATAGCGGGGAGAAATTGGAGAAAGAACTGCAGCTTATGGCGTATCTACTGTGCTCTCCGCTCTCATTTCTCACAATAGCTCTGTGAGGTCGTCTATTTTGTTAAAGTTAAACTGTGTCAGACAGTGTGTGTTAGTCGGTCCTTCCTATCCGACTCTCTGCAACCGCATGAACTGTAGCCCACCAGGTTCCTCTCTCCATGAAATTCTCCAGGCAAGAATACTGGAATGGATAGCCTTTCTCTTCTCCAGGGGATCTTCCTGACCCAGGGATCGAGCTTGGGTCTCCTGCATTGCAGGCAGATTCTTTACCATCTGAGCCACCACGGAAGTCCAAGTGTCAGAGATAAATAACCTACTAACCTTCCTGACATCTACATTTGGATACCTCACAGGTTTCTCCAAGGCTTATCTTGCCTTCTTCCTCCACCATGCCGGCGAGCTGAATCGCTAAGTCCTATCCCGTTCTGCGACCCCATGGACTGTAGCCTGCCAGGCGTTCTTTAAGCAAGAATATTCCAGTGAATTGCCATTTCCTCCCCCAAGGGATCTTCCCCACCCAGGGAGCCAACCTGTATCTCCTGCATTTGGCAGGTGGATTCTTTACTTCTGAGCCACCTGGTAAGCCCCGAAGCTAGAAAAGCTCCACCCTGAACACCTTCCTCTCCATTTCTCAAGTCCAGCTGATTGCATTGCTTCAAGCCTCTCTCCCTCACCCACACACCTGTGAAGTGTGCATTATCTCTTGCTTGAATTCTTACAATACATTCCTAACAGGAATCCCTACTTCCCTTCTGGCCGTCTCACAGTTACTCTGCAGCAGTAGACGAAGTGCTCTTTCAACACCAGGTCTAACCATTATGCTTTCCCACAACTTCTCTCATCTTAGGACAAAGTTTAGAGTTCTTAAAGTAGCTGCCAAGATCCTGAATAACTGGCTTAATTCAAGCGTGACCCTTGTGAATTTTTCTATTATCTATTACCACTTCCTGTATTATTATTGCTGCATATGAACCTTCAAGTTGTGAACTTTCAAAGATGCAAAGGTGCCCCTGTATACCAGCTGTTGTACTGTATCACTGTACCTTTCATGGTGCTATCCTGTAAGATAAAAAAGAACATTTTCTTGGATATTTCTGTATCCTGGTGGTGCAGTGGATTGGAATCCGCCTGTCAGTGCAGGGGACACAGGTTCATTCCCGAGTCCGAGAAGATCCCACATACTGTGGAGCCACTGGGCCTTTGTGCCACAACTACTGAAGCCCGAATGCCTGGAGCCTGTGCTGCGCAATAAGAGAAGCCACCACAATGAGAGTATCGCTTCTGGAGAGTAGCCCCCACTCTCCGCGTCTAGAGAAAGCCTGCAGGCAGCAACAGAGACCCAGTGCAATCAAAAACAACAAAATAAATAATTTGTTTTAATGTTTTATTTTTTGTGTTTGTTTGTTATGTGTTACTGTGTGAAAAGTATTATAAACCTGTTACAGTCAGTCAGTCAGTTCAGTCGCTCACTTGTGTCTGACTCTTTGTGACCCCATGAATCGCAGCACGCCAGGCCTCCCTGTCCATCACAAACTCCTGGAGTTTACTCAAACTCATGTCCATCGAGTCGGTGATGCCCTCCAGCCATCTCATCCTCTGTTGTCCCCCTCTCCTCCTGCTCCCAATCCCTCCCAGCATCAGGGTCTTTTCCAATGAGTCAACTCTTCGCATGAGGTGGCCAAAGTACTGGAGTTTCAGCTTCAGCATCAATCCTTCCAAAGAACACCCATGACTGATCTTTAGGATGGACTGGTTGGATCTCCTTGCAGTCCAAGGGACTCTCAAGAGTCTTCTCCAGCACCATAGTTCAAAAGCATCAATATTTCAGCACTCAGCTTTCTTCACAGTCCAACTCTCACATCCATACATGACCACTGGAAAAACCATAGCCTCGACCAGACGGACCTTTGTTGGCAAAGTAATGTCTCTGCTTTTTAATATGCTATCTAGTTGGTCATAACGTTCCTTCTAAGGAGTAAGCGTCTTTTAATTTCATGGCTGCAGTCACCATCTGCAGTGATTCTGTTACTGTGTGAAAAGTATTATAAACCTGTTACAGGACAGTGCTATATAGCCAATGATGTTAGTTGGATACCTAGGCTAACTTTGTTGGACTCACGAATTTGCTCTCAGAATGGAAGTCACGCGAATGTAGGGGAATTACTGTACTTAATGTTTTAATTCATCCCTCTTCTTTCTTTAGTTTCATCCTAAGTAATAATATGTATGAAATAATAAGTTTATGAAATTATCTACAAATAAACTATGAAAAGTGTTCATTCATGGACTGTTGAAATCATATCTAGTGGCAAACACTTTAATTCTAATTCATTGGAAAAAATTAATGCTTGTGAATGCTTCAAAGCTCAATCTTAATATTATTTTCTCCCTTCCACACTCCCTGACTCCTCCTTCCTGACCAAGATCAAGTGCCCCCTTCATTGAGTATCCTCTTCCTTTGTGACACTTGTCACAACTTTTATTAGGTTAGTAATGGTGGTAACTGGTGATTTTATGTCTCTCTGCCCTACCGAATGCCAGGTCTGTGAGGGCTGGGACCTTGTCTGTCTTGTTTAGCACTTGATCCCCAGCACCCAGCCAGAGATCCTACAGAAGAGGCACGTGATCAATGAGGGAATGAAAGGAGGGTAGTGCAGTGGTTAGGACCACACATGGAAGTCAAACCAATCTAGTTTTGAGTTCTGCTCTATAATATTGACATGTTTTTAAACATATATATTATTATCTGTTTATATATAGTTTCAGAAGGAGGAATCTCTTGAGAGAATTTAACAGAGATCCCATTTTATGTATATACACACACACACACACACACATATATATAGTCATATATATACTCCTTCTTTATTAACTCCATGACATCAGGCAAGTTGCTTAACTCCTCTGAGTCCCAGTTTCCTTATCTGGACAATGATGATAAGGGTGGAAAACTTTTAATTATTTACTTTCGGTTGTGCTGGGTCTTCGTTGCTGCGCATGGGCTTTCTCTAGTTGTGGGGCAAGCAGGGGCTACTCTTCATTGTGGTGCAAGGGCTTCTCATTGTGGTGGCTTCTCTTTTTGAGGAGTAGAAGCTCTAGGGCTCACGAGCTTCAGTAGTTGTGGCGCATGGCCTCAGCGGTTGTGGCTTTCAGGCCTAGATCACATGGGTTTAGTTGCTCCATGGCATGTGGAATCTTCCTGGAGCAAGGATGGAACCCACGTGCCCTGCATTGGCAGGTGGATTCTTATCCACTGTACCACTAGGGAAGAACCATAAGTGTAGAATTTTAAGAGATTTTTTCTTTTTTTTAAGCTGTTGGAGAATACAACTAGTAAGTGGTGAGTTTTGGATTGACACTCGGGTCCTCCTATCTCCAAAGCTATGTTCTTTCTCTCAAGCAAGTTGCCAGAACCAGTTTCACCTTGCTTTTGGATTCTTTCATCATAGTCTTTCCATCTTGGGATCAACTGCAGGCCACCAAGTGAGGTATGTGACTTCTACTTGTTTGCTACTGTAAGGCCAAAGTAATTTGAGGAGTGCTTTAAGGCAGACAGTGCCTCCTAACACTTCTCCACCACCACCCTCCAAAGCCAGGGAGAAGCTGCATTTATTTCCCAGGTACCTCCAAGGAAGATCAGAGTAGCCATGAAAACACAACAGACATGCTAAAAGGGCACACGAGCAGTCCCCATGCACAAACATGCAGCTATCTGGGCACCTTTGTTGGAGGCTGAACTTCCCTGTCAGAATGCGTGATGATGGTGCTTTGAGGCTGGCTGTCTTACTCAAGGCCACCTGGCCCCTCTCTGATTCCTGATACTTCAATCTGGTGTCCCCACGATATGGTCCACCCACCCCTAGTACTTGAGAAGACTATAGATAATGCCTGTATAGACATCTTAATTTTAATGATTATGTATATGTATTTCCATGTGTATGAGAAAAAAATTTTAAC